CAAACGTATTAACCTGGTGGCCACCTTGATTTCAGGACCTCAAATAAACCAATATTGTTGAATGGGGTTGAGTTGGTGTCCGTCTTTCTTTCAGGACAACCTCTGTCCCCCACTTTGAATCCTAGAGGTTCCCAAAGGGTTGACCTGGTGGCTGGCTTGCTTTCAGGAGCCGAGGTAAACTTTAGAAATTCATTGGTTGAGCTGATGGCCAGCTTCCTTTCAGGACAGCAGGTCAACCCATAGAATCTAAAGGGGTTGACCTGATGGCCAGATTCCTTTCAGGATTTCAAGTCAATCCTTGGAATCCAAACACTTTGAATCCTAGAGGTTCCCAAAGGGTTGACCTGGTGGCTGGCTTGCTTTCAGGAGCCGAGGTAAACTTTAGAAATTCATTGGTTGAGCTGATGGCCAGCTTCCTTTCAGGACAGCAGGTCAACCCATAGAATCTAAAGGGGTTGACCTGATGGCCAGATTCCTTTCAGGATTTCAAGTCAATCCTTGGAATCCAAACGCTACAGTGCACATCTCCCCCCCCCCCCCCCACCCCACACACACACACACAGTTCAAAGAATGGCACAGGCCTGTTTTTCTGGTCTCAGATCTATTACAGGAAATGTCCCAAAATGATGTCTGGCTAAGAGTCTAAGAAAAGAAAAGAAAAGAAAAGAAAAGAAAAGAAAAGAAAAGAAAAGAAAAGAAAAGAAAAGAAAAGAAAAGAAAAGAAAAGAAAAGAAAAGAAAAGAAAAGAAAAGAAAAGAAAAGAAAAGAAAAGAAAAGAAAAGAAAAGAAAAGAAAAGAAAAGAAAAGAAAAGAAAAGAAAAGAAAAGAAAAGAAAAGAAAAGAAAAGAAAAGAAAAGAAAAGAAAAGAAAAGAAAAGAAAAGAAAAGAAAAGAAAAGAAAAGAAAAGAAAAGAAAAGAAAAGAAAAGAAAAGAAAAGAAAAGAAAAGAAAAGAAAAGAAAAGAAAAGAAAAGAAAAGAAAAGAAAAGAAAAGAAAAGAAAAGAAAAGAAAAGAAAAGAAAAGAAAAGAAAAGAAAAGAAAAGAAAAGAAAAGAAAAGAAAAGAAAAGAAAAGAAAAGAAAAGAAAAGAAAAGAAAAGAAAAGAAAAGAAAAGAAAAGAAAAGAAAAGAAAAGAAAAGAAAAGAAAAGAAAAGAAAAGAAAAGAAAAGAAAAGAAAAGACAACTAAATTTAAAATGTATAGAAAATTAACAATAGTATCAAACTAATTGCACACAAATACTAAAATATAAAAATAAAAATAAAGTAACAACACAAATAATAACACAACAATGATTATATGATATCAAATGAAATAAAAATAACGAAAGGAAAAATAAAACTACAGACGCTTGCAGAAACGTAATATATGTTTACAACAATAAAATAAAGGAGGACATGCATGTGAAAATATATAGGAAAAGGTAAAAATATATAGAAATCTTTAAAATCAGGGCTTTTATTTTAAAAAATAAAAAATAGACAGAGACAAACACGTTAATCTGGAATCTGCGGGGAGAGATTCCGTGGGATCTCAGTTCCCAATCACACGAGAGGGGTTTCGGGGTTCCCCCGCTCTCTCTGTCTCTCAGTGTAACTGTCGTGGAACCCGGCTCTGGAAGTCCCAAAGGGCTGGAATTCCAGCTCTCTCTACACAGGGCAGTTCCAGGAGGCTGGGCGGGGGGGGAGGTTTCCCTGTGCAGCTGGGCAGAGGCAGGGCTGCCCTTTCCCCTCCCCTCATTCTGATCGATCCAAGCGGGTTGACTTGGTAGCAAGTTAGCTTTGAGGAAATCAGGTAAAGCCATAGGCCCAGTGGGGTTGACCTGGTGTCTGGTTTGCTTTTGGGCCTGCAGGTGAACCTCTGGAACTCAAGGAGATGTTTGAGCTTGTGTCTGGTTTGCTTTCTAGTCACCAGGTAAACCCCTAGGTTCCAAAGTGGTTGACCTGGTGTCCAGTTCCCTTTCATGACACCAGGAAACGCTTGGGATTCAATTAGGTCAACCCACTGGCCAATTTGCTTTGTGCCACCAAGACCCACCCACACATGCACACCTTGAATACTACTGGTTTCCTGTTGGAAGTCCTCAAGGGGTCACCAGGAATTACCTGTTCCCCTGCCCTTTGTCCCTGCAGTGCAAGTGTATTGTCCTGGTATCCGGTTTAGGATCCAATGGGTTGACCTGGTGGCCAGTTTCCATTCAGGCCACCTACTTAACCCCCTGTTGAATCACAGAGAAACCACCTTGTTCAGGCTCGGGAACCAGGAGGGTGGACACGTTTCCCACTGAGTCCCAGCAACGGGCAGGGAGAAGAGCCCATGAGAGCAGTGGGGCAGCAGAGAGCCCGTATCCGGTGGATATCCCAGGCCTCCGAGTTGAATAGATTATTACATCAGTTTCAGGTTCAACTGATCTCTCCAACTCTTACTTAACTGTTATTGTTCTAGAGCGAATGCATGGTGAGACGTGCCGACCTCCAGGGATGCAAGTATTTATCAAGCCAAACCCTACCCGGGCTTGCCTGGCCACTCTGGTGAATCTGGATATCCTCAGGACACTCACACGCCCCCGCGGCCCCATCAACTATCAACTCCTGATGGTCTACCATGGTGACCGTGGGTAATGGGGAATCAGGGTTCTCCATCAGAGAGAGAGCCTGAGAAAATGCTACAACATCCAAAGACAACAGCAGGGGTATGTCTAAACTACATGGCTCCGTCGACAGAGCCATGTAGATTTGTTTGTTAAGCAAAGGAAAATGAAGCCGCGATTTAAATAATCGCAGCTTCATTTAAATTTAAATGGCTGCCGCACTGAGCCGACAAACAGCTGATCAGCTGTTTGTTGGCTCAGCGTGCTAGTCTGGACACTCCTCTGCCGACATGAAAGCCCTTTATTGACCTCCCCGGTAAACCTCATCCTACGAGGCATAAGGGGGAGGTCGATAAAGGGCTTTCATGTCGACAGGGGAGCGTCCAGATTAGCGCACTGAGCCGACAAACAGCTGATCAGCTGTTTGTCGGCTCAGGGCAGCAGCCATTTAAATGTAAATGAAGCTGTGATTATTTAAATCGCGGCTTCATTTCCCTTTGCCGATCAGCCTAATCTACATGGCTCCATCGATGGAGCCATGTAGTTTAGACACACCCCAGGTGTGCAAATAACCCACATCCAACCTGGGAGAGAAAGTCTTCTTACCGTGTCCTAGGCAGATCCCGAGGGGATCGCTAGCCCTGTCATTACCCCACCTCACTGCACCAAGAGCTCTGCTCCTCCCCCAGTGGCGGAAAACCAGCTGGGGCACCCCCATTCCTAATGGCATGGCCCCTGCTCCTCCTTCCTACAGCATGACAACCTCATGGATCATGCCAGTAGCATATGCTTCTCTCAAAGATTAAGCCAGGCATGACAAAGTACACAAGGATGGTGCATTAAAACTGCCCATAGCTCATGGTTCCTCTGGTGGCTCCAAGCCTTTCTTGGACAACGATGGAAATTCTACAGCTAAAACATGCTGATGAGCTCTGACCTCACACAGCTGGGGTTGGTTCCATTTCCAATTTCTATTTTAACAGTTCTTTTTATTTTAAGATGTACATTTAAAAAAATAAATCTTTTAAAGCATTGTATTATTGTCAGTTACTTTCTTTTTATATATATTCTATTCAGCGTCTCTTGCTTTGACCCTTTCGCCCTCTCACAATAGACATCCCCTCCCAACGTGCTGCTCTCCCCACTCAGTTTAGCCCCTCAAAAAAACCCATCTCCCTACAGCAATAGAATGTCACTGGTGTATTATAATATGTCAATGTCTTTGGCAAGCAGGGATGGCCAAGTAAATGGCCCTAATGGATGGGAATGTCTTTGGCTGGTATTCAGGCAAATGTGTCCATGGTTATAACTTCTTTATTAATGACACGAAAGAGGGAATTGATTGCACATTCAGCATGTTCACAGATGACACTAAGCTAGAGGGTGAGGTAGATACATTGGAGGTCAGGGAGGAGGTCCAGAGAGACCTAGACAAACTGGAGGATTGGACTAAAAGAAATCTGATGAAGTTCAACAAGGACAAGTGCAGAGTCCTGTCTTTGGGACAAAAGAATTCCAAGCATTGGTACAGGCTGGGGACTGCCTGGCTAAGCAGCAGTTCTGCAGAAAAGGACCCGGGGATGACAGTGGATGAGAAGCTGGATATGAGTCAACAGGGCGCCCTTGTAGCCAAGATGGCTAATGGCATATTAGGGTGCATTAGGAGGAGCATTGCCAGGAGATCTAGAGAAGTGATTATTCCTCTTTATTCGGCTCTGGTGAGGCCACATTTGGAGTATTGCATCCAGTTTTGGCTCCCTCATTACAGGAAGAATGTGGACTGATTGGAGAAACACCAGCAGAGGGCAACAAAAATGATGAGGGGGATGGAGCACATGACTTATGAGGAGAGGCTGAGAGATTTGGGCTTAGTTAGACCTGGTGACCTACAGAAGAAAAGAATCTGGAGCGGGGTGGAATTTGATAAAAGTTTTCAACTCCCTGAAGGGGGTTCCAAATAATATGGAGAGAGGGAGGCTGCTCTCAGTGGTGGCAGATGGCAGAACAAGGAGTAATGGTCTCAAGTTTCAGTGGGAGAGGTCCAGGTTGTATATTAAGAAAAACTATTTTCCTAGGAGGGTGATGAAGCACTGGGATGGGTTCCCTAGTGAGGTGGTAGAGTCTCCATCCCTCTAGGTTTTTAAATCCCAGATTGACCAAGCCCTGGCTGGGATGATTGAGTTGGGTTGGTTCTGCTTTGGGCAGGGGGCTGAACTCGATGACTTCAGGGGTCTCTGCCAGCCCGGTGAGTCTGTGATAACATACCAAACCTGGGGCTGATGTAACTGCAGAACAATCAATTTCCCTCTACGTCAGATTGGAACCCCTGGTGTTCATTCAGCAGACCAATAATTTAGGGAGCTCTTTTTTCAGTATCATGTTGTTGCATTGAAAACCCAAATGTCTTCATGGCTACTTCCCACTTCTTCCCATGGCTTTCCTGAAGGCAACTTGCACATCCTTGTTTCTGAGGCTATAGATCATTGGGTTCAGCATGGGGGTGACCCCGGTGTAAAACACAGAGACCACTTTGCCAGTGTTCATGGAGTAACTAGTGGAGGGGCGGAGATAGGTGAAGAAACCGGGCCCGTAGAAGAGCAGGACTGTGAGGAGATGGGACGCACAGGTAGAGAAAGTTTTGCGTCTGCCCTGGGCCGAGTGGATTTTCATGATGGTGGCTAGTATGCAAGTGTACGACGTGGAAACGACAAGGAAGCAACTTCCACCTACTGCTCCACTGAGCAGAAAAACCAGCACCTCGTTGAGATAGGTGTCCGTGCAGGCCAACTTGATCAAAGGAGGGATCTCACAGAAGAAGTGGTTGATTTCATTGGGACCACAGAACGGTAGCCTGGCTATGAAGGACGTATGTATCATTGAGTAGACAAAGCCACCAATCCATATAGCAGTGGCAGAGCACAGACAAGTTCTGCGATTCATGATGGTTGCGTAGTGCAAAGGCCGGCAGATCGCCATGTAGCGGTCGTAAGCCATCAGTGCTAGAAGCAAAGATTCAGACCCGGCAAAGGAGATGAGAAAGTACATCTGGGCCATGCAACTGGAGAAAGAAAGTGATTTAATTTTGGCCACCAACTTCACTAGCATATTGGGGAGAGTGACAGAAGAGTAGGAGATGTCTAAGAGAGACAAGTTGACCAAGAAAAAGTACATAGGGGTGTGGAGTGTGGTGTCTGCTCGGATAGCCAAGCAAATAGAGAAGTTGCCAGCTAAGGTCAGCAGATAGATGAGCAAGAAGGTCATGAAGAGTAGAGGCTGTATTTCTGGAAAACTTGAGAGGCCCAGGAGTCGGAATTCTGTCACTGAACTTTGATTGTTCATATCGGTCAGTTTACCTGCAAGCGGGAACAGTAAGGTGAATATACTCAGTTGAAAACAGCATGTAGATAATACAAGAATACTGGAACATAGAGACGGGACGTATATGCAAAACACATACTCCACCATCTCTTCCTTTTCAAATATAGTAGGTCGGGGACCATTGCTATATATCTCGTTTGAAGATAATTAATCCTTAAGCATATGCTATATATCTCGTTTGAAGATAATTAAGCCTTAAGCATATTTATTATTATTGTTGTTGTTGTTGTTGTTGTTGTCGTTGTTGTTGTTGTATTCCCACCTACATAGTACCTCTTGATGTGCAATATTTAGGTAAAAATAATCACACAAAAGCTTTGTTTAGTGACATGGTGAGTGTTATGGTAATCTTACCCTGGCTGTACAGACCCAATTGACATCAAACCACGTTGAAAAGTCAGCAGATACTCAAAGTGTTTTGAATTTTTCCATCTTAACAAGTGCATCTTTTTTTAAAATAAAGGTGTAAAGCTCCTGTTAAGATACAAACCTCTTAGCTGGGCTGGCTGACATTTTTCTACCCACTAAAGCTCATAAGCACATGATGAAATCTGTCGTAATTCTGAACAGAAGAACCTGTTTAAAGTTAAACCCATGTTTAACCCTTTTCCTCCATATGGATGGATGCGTGCCTTTTTTTCTTACTGTCCTTTGAAAATTGCTCAGATTTTTTGCCTCATTTCCCCATCTGTACAATATGGATTTAACATTTCACACATCACAGGAATAAATCTAAAAATGAGTTGAAATTTTGAAACAAAACTTCCTTTCTTCTTTGACATTTTGTGTTTTTAAAAATAATTTTTCATACACTTTTTTGTATGAAAGTTCAATGGACATTTACGAGGGAAACATTTTCATTCCTTTAGTTTTGCACCAACATTATTTTACTTTTGAGAAAGGGAGGTTTATTTTCTTAGTTCTTTTTTTTTTTTTTTTTTTTGAAATCCTTTCAAATACACACAGAGGATTTTTTAAAATTAGACTAAACACTTGGGAAACTGGAAAATCACAGCATATTTTTTTTCATTTCCTCCAAATATCCTTTCTAATTTTGAAAAGCTGCAACGGAATCATAAAATATTTGAAAGTTGTTCTGATAAATCAATAGGAAAATCAGACTTTTCACAGTTCATAAAACAAAACACTTGTATGTCTTTGCATGACTGTGGACTTACATATATATTCTCTGTAAAGTTATGGGTGGGTTTTACCTACAGAAATTTATGTCCTAATATATCTGCAAGTCTCTAAATTGACACAGGACTCCTTGTTCTTTCTTCAAATCTATTATTTTTCATTCCTCACTACTTTTCCTCCCAATTATTTGGGATTTGTTCTTTCAACAAAGAAAGAGAGAAGGGATAGACAACATTATGCACCTAGGTGCCTTCTTGAATTCCGTTATTAAAAAAATCAGTTCTTTCTGACAAGGACTTACATATATGCTCCAGTCACCCTGTGATTTCCATGAAGCAGAAGATCTCCAGAAGAAAATAGACTTTGATAAACACAGTTTCTGAAAAACATCTTTGGATTATCCTTTCTTACAAGCCTTGGAGATGTTCCAGTTGTGTGGGTGCATAACTTTTCTGGTGCATCAGATTCCTGCAGGATAGTTGCTCTCCTTAATCTGCAAAGAGTTGTTTCAGAGATCATTTATAAATTATAGACCCGCAAGAAGGATGTGATGGTTAAGACCTCCTCAAGTGTCTTGCCCATCCCCTTGACTCAGTGGAAGGACTACAGTATCTTCCTGGGCTTCCCTCACTCTAATTTTCAATGTCAACAACCTTGATGGTATAACTTTCTCTGGTCTCCCAATAGGCCTCATTAAAAAGTTAATGGTATTCTACTTTCTTCTTGAACTTTTTTCTTGCTGAAATCTAGGACATATCTGCTAGTGCTTCAAACCTGAGAGGGAACATGCCTGGGGGTTGTGGTTAGAGCCACGGAACGGCACTCAGAAGACTTGAATTTACTCTATCCACAGCAGATTCCCTTTGTAATTCTGAATACAATTTTTAAAGGTCGTTTGGCATCTGGTGGAATTTCAAAAGGAAGTACGTGACAAGCACTCAGTGAAAACAGTAATTATCAGGCACTTCGATACTACTGAAAATCCTTCCATGTTTCCAGATATCTTCACAAATCTGGTTTCTAGTGCTTGGGTTTACCATCTGTAAAATGGAGATAGTCGTCTTTCCTTTCTCTGGCCAGGTCTACACTAAAGGGGAAAGTCGACTTAATCATAGAATCATAGAATACTAGGTCTGGAAGGGACCTCGAGAGGTCATCGAGTCCAGTCCCCTGCCCTCACGGCAGGACCCAGCACTGTCTAGATGATCCCTGATAGACATTTATCTAACCTGCTCTTAAATATCTCCAGAGATGGAGATTCCACAACCTCCCTGGGCAATTTATTCCCGTGTTTAACCACCCTGACAGCTAGGAACTTTTTCCTAATGTCCAACCTCAACCTCCCTTGCTGCAGTTTAAGTCCATTGCTTCTTGTCCTATCCTCAGAAGCCAAGGTGAACAAGTTTTCTCCCTCCTCCTTACGACACCCTTTTAGATACCTGAAAACTGCTATCATGTCCCCACTCAATCTTCTCTTTTACAAACGAAACAAGCCCAATTCTTTCAGCCTTCCTTCATAGCTCATGTTCTCCAGACCTTTAATCATTCTTGTTCCTCTTCTCTGGACCCTCTCCAATTTCTCCACATCTTTCTTGAAATGCGGTGCCCAGAACTGGACACAATACTGCAACTGAGGCCTAACCAGCGCAGAGATACGCGAGATAAGATACGCAACTCCAGCTCCGTTAATTACATAGCTGGGGTTGACTTATCTTATATTGAGTTTCACCCCGTTGACACAGGAGGAAGTAGATGGAAGCAAATGCTCCCATTCACTACCCTTACTCCTCGTGAGGAGCAGGAGTACCAGCGTTGATGGCAGTACCCTCTCAGTTAAAATCTTCTCTAGACCTGCTCATTCATACCCCAGAAGATCGACTGTGGCAGTTTGATCTTCCATGTAGTGTAGACCAGCCCTCAGTGACTTACTCATTTAGATCAGTAGTTCTCAAACTTTTTGGCCTGTGGCCCACCTGCTAACACAAACCTTTCCATGGACCACCAGCCAATAATCTGTGATGACAAATTCCCATCACTTATCTCTAAATACCTTAAATGCTAAATTATACATATTAGACTCCTGGAGCATAAAAAATAAATACGCAGCTATAACATCAGGGGATGTATAGAACCAGCGAGAAAGGAAATATTATTAATCAAAATCAAAATTGTTACATAGATTCAGCACTTTCACTTTACCATGTGAGTTGACCAAACTTCATTGTCCATAAAGTGAAATATTCATTAATGTCCAAAACAAAAGGTTTCAATATTGTCTTTATTGATGAGAGGGGTGGGGAAACTTTTTTGGTTTGGAGGTCACTGACCCCCAGAAATATCACACAAGAGTATGAGGCAAAGCCAAAAAAAAAACCAACCCCCAAACCAACCAACCAAAGAAACAAAAAAAAAAGCCCCACTCCTCACTGATGTGGCTCCTGCCTGAGACACCTCACTCCCCTCATGCTCCAGGGCAGGGCCAAAAAGAGGGGCTCAGGAGCAGGAGAGCAGTGCCAAGGAGTGGGATAAGGATGGGGTGCAGTGTCTAAGCAGGAGGTTGGGTGTAGGAGAGGGATGAGGGTGGGGGGTTCTGGCCAGGAAGTTGGGTGCAGGAGCAGGGTGGGGGTGCAGGCCTTGGCAGGGGAGTGCATGAGAGTGAAGGGGGTGTAGTCTGGGAATGAGGAGGATGGTGGGGGGACTTACCTGGCTTTATTATAGGTTAACAGTAATGGTTCAGAGATCTCTTCAACCAACTTTTTGGACGCAAGTTATTTGGGCTTTCTGAATGCAAATGATTTACCCTTTGGTTAATGCTATATTAAAGCCCTCCTTAGTTGCCTAAGGACTCTAAGGGTATGTCTACACTACAAAGTTAATTCGAACTAACAGCCGTTAGTTCAAATTAACTTTCATAGGTGCTACACAGGCAAACCGCTAGTTCGAACTTAATTCAAACTAGCGGAGCACTTAATTTTAACTAGGTAAACATCATTCTACGAGGACTAATGCCTAGTTTGAATTAAGTAGTTCAATTTAAGAGCTGTGTAGCCATTCAATTCGAACTAGTGGGAGGCTAGCCTGCCCCAGCTTTCCCTGGTGGCCACTCTGGGCACCACCAGGGAAACTCTTCTGCCCCCCTCCCGGCCCCGGTGCCCGTGCCAGGTGCAAGCCTGCCAGCACCCAGCCAGCAGACGCTGCACCTGGCACGGCTCGAGCCAGCCACCCGCTCAC